ACTATTTATAGGATCACATTTAGAAGCTAGCAGATAGGAAACAATAAGCTATACATTTCCTTCCTTCGAACAAAATTTTTTTTTGAAAAGCAATGCATCTAAAAGGACTTACCACCCACAATGGGCGTGAGGAATGGTCAGCTTTGAGTGGCATCTGGTTCCTGTAGTCTTTTGCACCATATTCATCAACTTTGGTCCCAGAATCTTCCACTTGCTTCCCTGCAGCTGATGGAACTGCTTCTTGGGACTCTTTGCCTGTAAGGTCATATTCTTCTTCCTCTTCCTCCTCATAGTGGCGTTTTTTCGATTTCTTCTTATCTGGAAACCCAACAGTAGTTAAACACACATGCAGTTCCTTCAGCCAAATGACAACACAAATGGAGCTATTTTCTAATGCAAAACTTTGAAGGAACCATGAATGTCAGCATATTGTACTGGCTTCAGAAGTAGCTGTTCTTGTATACAGATAGGGATCACTTAAGGTGAACCAGGCTGGGAAGAATTACTTTAGTTGTTCCAAGGCTTCTTTCCACTTCCTAGTTAATATTCAAGGACAAAACGTACAGCTTTACCAGGGGTGTCAAACTCAATTTCATTGAGGGCTGCATCAGCATTGCGGTTGCCCTTTGGGTGTGTGTGTGTGTGTGTGTGTGGCCAGGGTGAGTGCGGCCTACTCGGTGGGCGTGGATGGAGTAGGTGTGGCCTACTGGGTGGGCATGGCCAGCTCTACATTGTTCCCATCAAGGGTACCTGTGGGGGCCTGGGCAGGAGTGGGACAGATCTGAGGGTCTCTGGCAGAAGGGGGTGGAACCAGGGCAAGTGCCAAGGCATGGTCCATTTCTTCATTCCTCACAAAGGGTGACACCTCCCCAGCATGCACTCAGGGATGGGACTGACACGGCAGGGGTTAGTTCCTCATTGTTTCCAGATGGCCTTGTGGAGCTAAGACTGAATGTGTTTCAGCATAGATGGCCACCACAAAATTGTACATTGGCTCCCAGCTGGCCTGGGCCAGGGCCAAGGCAGCGGGGGCGTTCCCTCATTGTTTCCAGGATGGCTTCGTGGGCCACATGAAACTACTTCGCAGGCCTTGTGTTTGACATGTCTGAGCTATACAAATTACTACCAGATTTCCTTTAGATTAAGTTAAAGTTAGGCTTATTACTCTGAGAATGTTTTTCTCTAAACACAGAAAATAAAAACGTCACAAGAGATACTGCATCGTAAATCTTATTCAAGGACTTGCCATAATTCAGAGAGCATATGAAGATATACCTTGGGAAAGTGTACATGTACAAAATTGCTTATACCTGGTTATAGCAAAAAAAAAAAAAAAGGGGGGGAGACAATGTCTTGCTTTAAAGCAGTGTTTCTCAACCTTGACAATGTTAAGGCATGTGAACTTCAACTCCCAGAATTCCACAGCCAGCAATGCTGGCTGTGGAATTCTGGGAGTTGAAGTCCACATGCCTTAACATTGTCAAGGTTGAGAAACACTGCTTTAAAGAGAGAACAAATCGAGTATGTGAAGCACCGATTTATCTCAAACAAGGACATGCTGTTAGTCGTCAAATGCGTCACCGCTACAAAGCTGTGCGTACGTTTTGTAAGAATAAGAGAACCGGCATTAGGCTCACGAGGAAGACTACGAGGGAACCCCTATGGCGCCAGGTCTTGAAGAACTTCCCCGTCGAAGAAGCAACCACCCGAAGGCGAGCCTGGCTCCCCGAACACAGAAGCAAAATAGCTTCCAATTCTAAGGTGACAAAGCCGAAGAGCGTCCCAGGAAAGCGCCGACGGCTTACCTCGCTCCTTCTTGCCCATTTCTGAGGCGTTCCGGCGACGCAGCACCGGCCGTGAGCATCTCCCCTTAGTCCCCACCGCTTCCGGAGCGGAAGAAAGCGAATCCGGTTGCTCCTCCTCTGTAACGTCATCACGGAGACCTCGGGGAGGAGGGGACCGAATTTGCCGTCGTCTGTGATTGGGTCGCTTTCTCGCTCGGCAAGGAGCGGGCGGGACAAATCCTCCCAGGACGCAGAGCGAAAACTTTGCGAACTGGGGATGGGAGACCTCCGGGAAATCTTAGGGCTGTAAACAGGATTAAGGATGGAAGGTTGAAAAATCGAAATTCATGTCCTCACAGCTTCCGTATGATTGTCAAACAACAACCTCGAGGGCAGGTCTGCAGGAACCTTCTTTCCTTGGAAACGTTTTTAATCTTTGTAATGTCCTCGCATTCAAGCAAGGCCTTTTTAATTCAATGAGACCTATTGCTGTGAGGGAAATGGATGTAGGACTTCAGCCATCAGTAATGGTTGGGTATTTTTCCTCCTTCATCTGTTCACAATGAAACAGCCGTTGAGACTGGAAGGGAGGGGAGAAGAAGCAACTCTTGCCTCTCATAGCTCGGATTAGAGGGGCTTTTTGCGTTATGCAGAATAAATTATGAAAATACTAAAAGTTATTTTTAGATCAGCCATATAATTTAGGGTCTCTTCACCGAAGAGCAGAGATATCATATCCTAACAATGTTGACTTGGAGCAAAAGGTCTGTCCACCACCACCCTTCCAATAAAGGGATAGACTAGAATAGAGTTGGAAGGGACCTTGGATGTCTTCTAGTCCAGCACCCTGCTCGAGCAGGAGAACCTACAGTATACCATTTCAGACAAGTGACTGTGACTATCTAACTCTAATCACTTCCTTAAAAACCTCCAGGGCTCCCACGATTTCTGAAGGCAAGCTGTTCTACCGATTAATTGTCCTGTTAGGAAGTTTCTTCTTAATTCCAGATTGCTTCTCTCTTTGATCAGTTTCCAACCATTGTTTCTTGTCCTGCCTTCTGGTGCTTTGGAGCAGAGGTCCCCAATCTTTTGGGCACCAGGGACCGGTTCTGTGGAGAGAGGTTTTTTCGTGGACTGGAGGGGGTGTGGTTTTGTGTGCTGCCTACATCCTGTGGCTGAGGCTTCGCTTGTTTGCACAGACCAGTTTCTGGCATGTCATGGACTGGTGCTGGTCCTCGGACTGGGGGTTGGGGACCCCTGCTTTGGAAAATAGTTTAAACTCTGAGAACATTTCAACTTTGTGCCTCAACTCACTAGCTCTCACTAGATTCCAACATTCAGATATAATTCAGCGTTATCTGATCCACATTTCACCATAGAGGTTACTACAAATGTGGATTTTCTCCCCCACAGGGTATTATTTTGAAGAATTCACTCTTTAAAAGAGAATGACCTTCCAAAAGATTTAAAAATAAAATTCATGTTAAGGGAATCATCAAGAAATGAGGCTGAATTCAGAGCAGGGAACTACATATGCAAAGGAGGTCTGTGGTGTGTTTTAAAGTCTCTACTCATAGTGGCTGAGGCTATTTCTCAGACGCTATTTTATTTTTGCTTTAAAAAAATGAAAATATGGTATAATGCAATACAAAATTTTAATCCTTTCCAAGAATGCATTTGATCCTGTAAGCATCTTTAAAGGTTAAAAGTAGTTGGCTGTAGCTCTGATTTGTCTGCAAATGTGCCCGCTAGTCCAAATCCCCCACCAAAAATAAAAGGTTAGTCAGAAAAGTAGGCAGTTCTGAGAAGTGGGGGTACTTAGTGGGAAGCTCAGCTTCAGTTTGTCTTTGGATTGATCTGGCACAGGCTACACTCATCAGTTGCAGATGAAGTTTTTAAAAACTAAATATACCGGAAGACCCAAAGATGCTTGGAATTCTTCAGACCACATTTCTTCTCTCTTCCTTGATGTTGCTTGTTTCAAAGTAATACATGTAATAGTAACAACAGTACAAGGGAGAAAGATTGGAAATGCAGTATTGCTTGGGCACTGAACAGGCTGAGTTCATACAGCATGCTTTACCTGGATTCTCAAAACTTACTGAACCACAAATAGCCAGTTTTGCCTATGAGACTGAAACACAAAGCAAACTAAGGTTAAAATTACACTTACTGAATTGTGTGAATGCATCAGTCTAATAGATTTGGGTAAACATACTGCACAAGCCCAAACATATTGAATGTGTTTTATTTTAAATTTTCTTAAATACCGAATTCAAAAGCTGCTCTACCATTTATCTTGAATTATTGCTAGCCTAGGAATAAAAAATCTTTTTTATTAAGCACAGGATTACAGGAATATTAGGAATTTAGTTTAAAATAGTGCTCTACTGTTTCAACTAGAGCCAAGTTTAAATCCATGTATGTTGCTTAGGTATTCTAATAGAAATGCGGTACAAATAATTCTCAATTTATGACCACAGCTGGGACCAGAAATTGGGTTGTGAATCATGGTTGTAAGTCGAGGCATCCATGTGATTGGTGTTTTTTTTTCAACATTTTTCAAAAGTGTCATTAACTGACACCTAGTTGTTAGGTGAACCCATTCTTCTGAATGGTTTTTTGCTAGAAACCAGCAAAAAAGTCACAAACTGCAGTCATGTGACTGCGGGATGTTGCAACCAGCTAAGCACTTGATATGCAGTTATGTTACCACGGGTGGAGGGGGGAATGTTGTGACATTTTACAATAGTTGTGCTATAAAGCACCCATTCAGAGGCCTTCATAATTCCAAGTGGTTATAAAACCACTGGTCGTAACTCAAGGCCTACCTGCATAAATAGTTGTTTTAATATTACACACATTAAAATCATCAAAACACTTTATAAATTGTATACAGAAGTGCTATATTAAATGAATAGTGTAGTATATTTATTAAAGGAATGAGACTGTAATTTAAAACCCAAGTATGACAAATTGGAGTCAGTGAAATTTATGGCCATGTCAATTTCTATAGGATCTCACTTTGGAAGCAGAAGTTTATTCAAAATCCGTGTTTATAATCCGTTCTGAATTGCAACTTTCCACCTGCAAGCAACTTAATCTGCAAGACTGTTATAAAAATTGTTGAAATATGTATAAACTATAGTCAGTATATGGAAGCATTATATAAGTGCTAAATATTATTAAGACACTTTTTGAAATAGAACACACACATTGGAAATAAATATTTGTTTTATTAACACTTAAAAGTGCCATTATCTATAGTCATTCCATAAGCTCATAAGGTTACATCCAGTATACCTTTGCACCATAATCTTTCCAGAATGAAATAACATGGAAGGAAAAAAAATCTTTCTTGTATTAATTCTTGCAGGTCCTCATGCACAATCGTTCTGAATGAAGATGTGTACAAGCAATATACACATTTCATAAAACAAAGTAATTTGGTCAAACACAAGATAATAAAGCATGGCTTACTTTATATTTGATAAAGACCCCAAAATAAAATGCCACTTACCAGCAGGAAAATAATGGATAAATACGTATTTTTTTAAAAAATTAAAAATTATACATTTTGTACAAGCACTATAACAAAGTCCTAATGTGCATGAACAATGGAACAAACCACACCATACCAGGCCATTACTACACTCTTTAAAAAAAAAAGAATACCAGTTTTATGTCAATTCTTGATATCCCCAATGCTCTATTTCACAACCTTACAGTTGGTACATCTTAATCATTAATACAAAGATCCTTTCAAAACTAGGTTGTCAACTTAAACATTGGCATTCTGCTAGTACCCTCAATATGCTTTAATTTTCCCAGATCCAGGAGACATAACATTCATTGTAACAAAAGGGAATAGGCAATAAAAACATCATCTGACTTTTCTAAGACTGGTTATGTGTCTCAATTTTTTCAAGCAGCTATAAATTCAAAGATTGCTTTCAGCTTTGCAGAGCAGTATTACTATTCTTCGTATCAAGGAAACACTTTTCAGGTTTTTTTAAAAAATGAGAGGGGGGGGGAAGGGGGACACACAGAGGGACAGAAAGAGAGACAGAGACAATCCTTACAAGACAAACCAAACCATTGTCCAGCCAGAGTGTTTTAATATACAATTCATGTCCAATTCTGGAAATACAAATACATTTTGAATGGTTAAAAACAAAAATTAAAAAAATATTTTCTGAACATCAGCCAGCTGAAAATATATTTATCTAGTAAATTATCTTTCAAAGCTTTTATATATTTATCTAACTAAATGCAGTACCTTTAAAAAAAGATTTAAAAATGTAGAAATGAATCTGTGGAGTCTGTCGGAAAGAGAAAACACAGTACATAGAAGGTATTTTTGTATACCTTATTTTTTGAAAGTGAGACTTCTTTGCCACAACCCAAAGTTTACAGAGGCTTTGATGAGTGCATGAAGTTTCATGTAAGCAGTGTTTCCTTAGTTGCTTCATACTTCTGAAAAGTTTGCATGCACTCTCGTCACACACAGGTGAAACAATTTGGCATTTGGCCAATTTTCCACTCAAATAATGGTCAAATACTCAAAACTGAATGTGAAAAGACTTACATTAAAGATAGGAAAGAGAAAACTCAGTTAATTGCTATTTTAAACCAATTATGTTGCAAACTATTGCCAATATTTGACTGGTATATTCAATAGTATGAAGTGAGCTGGGAAATCCCTGTTCACAAATGGAATTATTTGTGTGCATGTCAGTGTGCATGCATGTGTGAAAGAGAGAGACAAAGCTGCTTAGATGCAACCAAGTTGCTGGATTAGATCTACAATGGGGAACTAGTAAGCAACATTAATGTCCTGAGTTCCTCAACCAAGATAAAGCCAGAAGTTGACATACATTTATACTGAATTAGAAAATCCTCATACATTCAAGACAGTAGTACATTGCACACATACGTTTCTGCATACACTCCATAACAGTTGGTCAGAGTATTAAATCAGTGTACAAATTAAACATTTTCAAAAAATGTGCAAAAGTCAACATCGATAGAAAAAAATACCATTGTGTACATACATTACAAACTGTGCCCAGCATTCAAACAGAGTAAAAACATTTAAAGAAATAAAGGGATTAAATAGAGAATTTGACAGCTGCATAAAAATGTACATTAGATCAAAAGGATAAGATTTATATATTATTATTCATAGCTTTTTGAAAAATGAGTCTGCCACTGACTTCCTCATATATAGTGACACTTGCTAGAGGTATGATAGTATGAACGTATCATAATTGTGGCAATCTATTTCTTTTTTACAGTTAAAAGTATCAAGTTTTAAACTGGTGATATTAGCAAAACAATCATACAAAAAGCAAGCAATGTAAAATTAAGCTTTTAGACCCTGTTTCAAAACAAAGAATTATTTTTTGGAAAAAAAAATCTGATTATGTACCTGTTGGGTGCACATGTGCATACAAGTGTGGGGTTGCATGGGGATAGATGATATGTGAAGTTAATAAAATTGAATAATTCTAAACAAGTTAACTCTGAATATTCCCATTATTGACACCACTTCATTTCTGAGGTTTCTCAGAATAAAAACTCAATAAACATCTTAGGAAAGTAAATTCTAACTGTACCCCATAGCAGACTGTTAACACCAGTAATATAAACCACCTCTCCCTTGTAAGTCAATCGTTTAAGTTTGAATATGTCACAATGAAACACCGTTGGAGAAATTATTAGCTTTTCTGTGTTTACTTATTTAGTAAGAGGAGAAATAGGAGAAAAAAAACCCTGTATTTGAGAGCATTTATATAATTCCCCACCTATTCCCAAAGGAATGTAATAGGTTTGCTATGTACATTCTTATCTGAGATATGAAAAGTTTGCACTTTCAAAATAAAAATGCTGCTAAGATTCCAGTAGCTGTGAAATCTCAGGTTTGCTCACTTGCTTGCATGTCTTTAAAAGTTCATTGTCCTAAAACACCAAAGTGACTATGGCTCTAAATTGTTTGGAATGATGAGACTGAGTATGTGCAATGTTTTAATTTGCTATGGCACAAGGAATACTTTGGCTCATTATACTAAGTCTCCTTTTCCCCTTAAGTTGTAAACTTATTTTCAGAATGGAATATTTGATTATTTATACTAAGGGGGAAAGATAGTATAGAAATACTTAAGATGAAAACTACAATCCATCTTTAACCCACTTTAATCTAGCTATAATGTGTGATGCCCACACACAGGAGGGAAAGGGGAAGAATGAGAAACAAAATACATAATTTATTTTTAAAGATAAATTGTCTTTTAGAATAAATATTCTCTAGGAAAAATATAGCAAAATTTAAAATCAGCAAAATAAATAAACTAATGGCCAAAAACAATCTAAATGAAAAATGTAAAGTACTTGAATGAAAACTTTAATGTTTACCCTGTATAATCTTAAAAGGACTTTGATACTAGGCCAATATTCTCTATTTATTGTAAATTCCCTACAATTTGACCTTTTATGCCTGGTTTATTTGTCAGGTCAATCAGAGACATCTGGTTCACAAAGGAAGACACTCCCACTTTCTTCTTATGCTGCAGCCCTTGTGTCCCCTCAAAAACAGACCTTCAAAACAGGGACTCCTCAAGAACAAGGTCAGGTAGAATATGGTAAAATGTTATTGGAGAAAGAAATCAAATCAAAGAAAAGAGGAAGAGACTTTGGAGATCATTTAATCCAACCCCTTCCCCATTTAGGAATCTAGGCATAATCTCCCCATGTCTGTGAATCAGTTTTTTTGTTCCTCTCAAAGAAATACATTTAAAGTCATTTCACATTCTTTGCCACAGCAATAATCACATATTATGCACATTGTTAAACCCAAATTAACAATAAAAGCAAACTTCTGACCCACATTGGATTTTTGCCTTAAATGTGACATCGAGGTCAGAAGCTATGCACACAGAAATGAAGTAAAATCATACTTTCTCATGTCTACAAAGTTTGTGAAATTGCTATCAAGTGGTCAAGATATGTTCTCTTGATCTGTGACAAAATACTGTTCTATATGGGATTTTTTAAAAATTTCCATTTGGTTTCAACTACTATCCATCTATTAAGTAACTGACTTTACTGTACAGCCTGACAAAGAACCTGGCTCCAGCCTCTCTTATAAGATGCTGAGGTTTAGATAATTATCCTCACAGTTAGTAATCTTTCTTCTTACTAATGCAGCATACCGTATGCTAAAAGGAGTATTATAAGGGCTGTTTATTAGATTTCTTTCACTAAAGAGAATTTGTTTTCCAATTTAAGACTGGGAGATTTGGAAAATCATTATTATAATTAACACACTTGCTTAGACACATATCTTGCATTCAAAATTCCTTCCGCATAAGCCAAATGCTCAGTTTCATGGTTGATATAGTCTGCAACATTTCCATTTCATTTTGTAATTATAATCATTAAAATAGAATTGCTGTGCTCGTATACAGGATCATTTGCCAGGTGCACATTTTTCTGCAGCTGTATGACTATTTTCACATGATCAAAGGGGAATCAGCATGATCACAGCTGTGTGAATATTGCACCATTCAAGTATACCTCTCCCTCATAGCAAAACCCTCCAAATGCCAATGGTCTTCACTAGCTGCTACAGAATATGTCCAAAGGTCTGATTAGTACAATGGATGCTATGAGAATAATTTGCCCTAGAGATGATGAAACCAATGATTATTCTGATAGCAAGTACAATCTAACAGTGGGTATTTTTAGGATATACTCAATATATCCATTATAGAATCTAACACCACAATTCAAAGGCTAATGACAAATACAATATATTTAAGCCAATGTTTAAATTCATTAAAAATATTTCTTTTTTTTTAAAGGCTTCAGATGAATTTTTAGTTTATATTATAATTGCAGCATTTTTCATTCTGAGCTAATTTTTCTACTTTCCTCATAAAGCTAGATTTTGGATAAGTACCTTCAATTTCCCTTAAGGGATAGATTTACTTTACATTCTGTACCAGATCATCTCTCTCTCCTGTTTCAATTGGAATCTGTGTATTTAACATTGAACTAGAGCAGTGTTTCCCAAACTTGACAATTGTAAGGCATGAGGACTTCAACTCCCAGAATTCCACAGCCAGCATTGCTGGCTGTGGAATTCTGGGAGTTGAAGTCCACATGCCTTAAAATTGTCAAGTTTGGGAAACACTGAACTAGAGTTAGCTCAAGCTCCCAAAATAGTATAACCAGTAGTACCGGGGATTGTTAAGGCTTGGATTCCAAAAAGACTGCATTTTATGATCCCAGAACACATTTAAATACCCCAAAGCATGGTGTGTATAATTGTAGGATTATGTGCTACTTCACTAGCACCTTCAAAAATATTACTGCTTAAGGAGCCACTTGGATTGCATGTGTCTCTGGGACAGCCATAGTAATAAATATATCCAGCACAACTTAGAAATCACAGGAAAGTTGCTAACAGCCACTAAACTAAACAAATAGTGCTTTTGGCTGTACCTAAGGAGTATAAAAGCTTTGGTTTTCAGTAATTTGCTAACATATACATAATAAGTACACAAACAAAACTGTACTGGTATGTTGATAGTAATACTTTTGCTTTAAAAAAACCCTCACCTTAGAGATATACATTCAACATAAAAGTCTGTAATTCTCTATAGATGCAATATATTTCAAATATTTTTTTTTAAAAAAATTCAATAAATATATTAGAATTTTTTGACCAATTTCCTTAAATGTCAGACACTGCTGCAAACTTGGTTGAAAGTATTACTGAATTCTACATTAAATCTGGACAATGGCAGGAACAAGATTTGTCCTTGTTAAAGCTACATGGCATTAATAGAATACAAATACCTTATTTGAAATCACATCTGATTTTCCTATTCAGAACCAATACTGTCACTTGCTTTAAGCAAATACTTTCTTAAAAGAAAGTACCACTAAAATCATTTTCAGTTCACTTGAGCTGCTGATTATTCTAGAATTAAATAATTTGCACGTACATAGAACTTTCATGTTGCAGAATTTACCAGTTCTAGGTTAAGAATAAAGAATATAATCATATCTAAGTTTAAGTGCTATTAACATCTCCATTTGAAATTAGTGAACTTGGAATATTTTTAACAGCTTAGTTTAAAACTAATGACATACTTGGATAAAGGTTTAAAATGCTATCAGTATTTTTAAAAGCAAGGCTTGAAAGTCCATATATGGTTATCTAAAAAATTGTTATAAATACTCCCTAGTTAATTTTAAAAAAGGGAAACAATTATGCTACTTAGTAAGTGTTCTTATGTAATTTGAACTTTTTCTGTAATCAATATGCTAAGAAAATAAACTTTAAGGCATAAAGATAAAGGCACTCAGATGTCTTTGAATGCTTTGTTAGTACAACAAGAACATTTTAATCCACTGTGTGTAACCCATATACTTCTTAAAAATTAAAGAGTAACGCTTATGCTAAAAATTAAGATTTCTCCAGGGAGACTATCATGATCTTTTTTTTAGAATTAGGCTTTCTAAAATATCAGGCTTCAAGATATAAAATACAAATAAATTCACCACATTACAATGTTTAATTTAATTTGTGGTTTAGAAAAATGCCTGTTGCGTGCTATGAGTATCTGTGGCTGCTCGGGTGCTACTGCTGCAAGATCTCCTCTGATGGGTGCCCCATGTCATACATGGAAAGAAATAAATGAATATTTGGATTTATGATTGGCACAATCATTCAGGATTGTACCCAGAAGCATAGCATCTAAGTATGACCCTGCATTTTTTTCTTTCTGAATCTTAGTTATGCTTCATAGCTGGGTTTGAACCATAATGCAGTTTTGGCAATGATTTCTAATGCAGTTGGATACAGATTAAATCTTGCACAAAAGGGCTGAAAAATAATATACTGAATTATTTTTATGTAGCAGAAAAGCCACATTTGTCTTCATTTTTAAGACAAAGACATGGTTATGTGCTATATATAGCTTATGTCTACTCAGCTCTGAGGGATATCAATTTTCCCTTTAGTGTTTCCAGTTTCATTTTCTCATAATTATTTGAATGTGACATATTCCCATACCATTTTCTCATAATTATTTAATATAAAGAATATATAGACTTTGAAATATTGTTAGTCTTCATGAGAAAGCAGTCATTTACAAGCTTTTGTTTGATGGTCTTGTATATGGCTAATTCTAAGACTAAAAAATAATAGGCTACAAATCACTGTCAAAAGACACAATTTGTACTGGCAAGCTTTGAAGGATTCTAAATATCACCTTAGATATTCAGAAACATAAGTATTTTTATATTAGTGTTTTCTTTCTAGCTAAATTGATATACTTATTAAAAGTCTCTAGTTAGACTTTTGCCTATAATCACATAAGCTGTTTCCAGCCTCATTTGATGAAGTCCAAGGAAAATGTAATGAAAATGATCAAAATTTGGCCTGAATTGTAACAGCAAGCTTTCTGTCAATCACTATGGTTTTTGTTTTGTTTTGTAAACTTTAATTACAAATTCATACCAAACATGGACTTATACTTCAATAATTACATGCCAAATTGCTAGAGACTGACCCATTCAACTTGTTGCTTAGAGGTAAACCATTAGCAATTGAGCTACCTCCCTCTATTATAGCTGATATTAGAAGTGTTTGGGAATTTACTTTATCCATCTTTTTTTAAAAGCACTTTTATATTGTCATTGTCAAGACACAATATTGAAAGAAGGCACAAACAGCTATCAGCCTTACTCTGCTGTCTGTCTCTCTCTCTCTTTTTCTCTCTCAGCTACACTAGGGATGTGCCCTGCAATCTGGGCGTGTTATCTACAATTTTGGACTCTTCCTATTTTCAAGATACTTCTTTGGACATTACAAGTTTTTTTTAATTCTTAACCTGCACTAGACATTATCTTTGAACATCACATAATTACCTTTTGGTAATAGAAGTACCCAGACTAAAGTTATGCAAATGTTTAAACAAAGCACAAAATAAAATGGAAATGTGATCTGCATTTTCTGGGTCCCTAGTGTATCTTTTGCTCCCTAGAATAAAAATAGCATGGACAGAAATATCCCATGCTACTTCAAATATAAACACATTTAAAATATAGGTTTGGGGTCACTGTAAATTGTTCTGTATAGAAATTATATGTAAAAATATACCCAGCAAAATAAATCTTATAACCAAAATCCCTCAAGTATTTTGATAAGGAATATATTTTAAATTGCACATAACTTTAGAAAGGCAAAGGGCTACTCTATCACCAAATTTTTACCTAAAGCAACTCCTACAGTCATCCATATTCAAAAAACTTGATCACAAAATTACTCCTGTTCAGAATATATTAAATTCTAATTCCCTAAATTTCTGGTTTTTTTCTAATTTATTAGCAAAATGTATTGTTTCACTCTTACATTTCTTGTTCTGCATGAATTTAAGCCAAATAATAGGGTTTTTTTTACTCCTTCACATAATACTGAGTGCTCTCATACTTGTCTACTCCATAGAATTACAACCATTTTAAGGACTTTATTACTTTTTTAGAACTTCAGAGGTTTGCAAATTTCACATTCCTTCTCTCTTTTGGGGATTCACAAATTAATGAGCTATTCTTATGCATTTGTTTAATAACTTGTCAAAAGAAACAAGCCTTCCCCAAAGTTCAATTGATGTCAGCATTTACTATTTTGTATAAAAACATTATTTCACACCCCAAATCAGGGACAAGAGGAAAATCAACACTGTCTACATAATTATATTTTTCCTGTCCCAGATGTTATCACAGTATCATACATCACATGGACATGAGACCTGCTACTGATCAGGTTAGCATGGTTCCAAACTCCTAAAAGACCTTAGTACAGCGGTAGCTCACCTATGACATGCCATGTCATTTTTGGTGATATACCAGGCCTCCAGACCCTCTAGGAGTTGTGTAAAAGGGCCCTGCTCTTGGAGGGCCTCTGGAGCCTCAGAAAATCACACAAGAATGCTTGACAAGGCTCATGTGATTCTTTTCTAAGACTGCAGAGGCCCTCCCAAGAGCAGGACTCTCTCATGTGTCTTCCATAGGGTGAGGAGAGTCAAGAGAGGCCCCTTTGACTAGGGGAGGGGGGAAAGTGTGAAATGCCAGCAAAATCAATGTTGGCATTTTCTGAATTTTTGGCATGCTGAGCCCATCACCATCACTGCCCCTAGTATAACAATTCACTGTCCTAAGCTTCTCAAGCTCCTAAACTCCAAAAAGGCATGGTGGGATAAAGCCGATCCAAGTGAGATCAAATTATAGCAGAAAAGCACCATAAACAGGCTGTTATTTACATAGTGAAAGAGCAAGGAGAGGCAGCCAGTGATTTTATTCCAACAGTATCAAGTTCATGTTTTACAGCTGAAACAGGACTTTGTAAATTTTTGTTTTAAAGTACAGCTGATTAGTATTGCCATTTAAGCTAGAAATTTCTGGAGTTTGATTCCTATCTCCCTGCAAAAAAATAATTTAAGGCTCTATCTCAGATTTGGAGAAAAAAAATCCAACAGCTTAATCCTATGTATATTTGCTAAGAAAAAAAAAAGTATCACTGCATTCAATGTAACTCATTCCTTAATGCATGTAGAATTGTTGCTTTAGACACTACCTTCTAAAATAAGTGGAAGGTTCATTAAACCTGGTCTTCAAAATTGTCTACATGAGCAAATATTTTCATTCAACAATTTTGAATTGGTGCAACAGCGCTGTTCAGAGGTCACTCAGAGGCTGCAATGATTGTCTGAATGCTAGATTTTGAACATTTCAAAGCCCTGTTAAATATACAACTTGGTAAAGGTGGGAGGAGGACTTTTCTTGTGGTGTCTCCTTTTAGTCTACTTGGGACCAAGTGATGCACATTTTTATGTTTTACATAATTTGCATAGCTATAGCTTGATGGAAGTTTAGCAAATTCAGAATCTTACAGAGCTTCCTTACAGGCACCAGGAAAAGACAGCCTATATTCACATGTAGGATACCACAGCTCTGTACAGAACCATAACAGACTGAAGGGTTCCAGGAAAGGAGTCATGACAATGATGATTCCTTTTTACATGTTACTGTAAATTTTAAGCACACCTATAGAAAAATAACCCTTACAGAAACAAGACCCTTAGAAAACAAATCAATTAATGGGTTGTATTGTTCTTTTAGTGGGTTAGCTGTCAATTTTGTTCAATCCACATTTGCTTTTCCAATTTAAATTCTGTCACAACTATAGACTAATGCATAAGCAATGTTCCATCTGCTGTTAACAACGTATGGTCAACTTCCAACAAAAGCCATATTTAATGGCTGCAGCTTAGTGCTGCAATCAACAGGGCAGGAACAACACCAAAATGTATAACACTAGGATTATCAGTTGTACAATTCTTTGGTGGTTGTTGGTTTTGGGATATTAAGTTTAAAAGATTTCCCTAGTTCTATTAAAAAAATGGAAAAAATACATTTCTATTTATTGGTGATCTGCTGTTGAAATTACATTTTAGTTGGGGAATGTCTATGGATCAGGGCTGCCTACTTCTATCCAGTATATCTACGAGATGCTTTCCAGAAGTACAGACTTTATCTATCTGAACTTAACAGTAAATAAAGACTGTAAACTCAGGTTACCAAGTCATGATTAAGGTGCCAGGAGCATTACGTAAGTATGAATCATAAATCACGTATACAGCTTTATGTTGTTGTATAGGTGATTTATGATTCATACTTATGTAACTTATGTTTTATATGTAAATATTGGTCAGGTTTAATAGCATCATTATGGTATCTATTATCTTCATATAATTTGACTTCCTTTAGACATTTTTCAGAAAGCCTAGGAAACAACTAATAGTAATGTTTAGCAACACCACTTCTGGAAAATGGAAGCATCTTTCCCATTGTCCAGTTACTTTTACTGTTTGGTGATATACATATCCTAAAAGGACAATCAGCAAGCACACATTCTAGAGTTTCTCATGATATTGCATTCTATTGTATTAAGATGTCCAATGTAGGTTGAAACAATTGGGATAATAATCCCAAGTCTGATTATTCCTTTATTATTATTTAAATCAAAGTAAAACATCTAAATAAATAAATAAGAAAACCAATTGGGACAGAAAAAATACTTTTTTTTCTTTCTGTATTACATATTCCTTCATCTTCAGTTGGAACTGAATTATATGGTATAGATACACATGGGAGCTTCCAGATCTCATTCCACCAAACTTGCTTTTTCAATGCAAATTAATAAAGCATTTGCAACCCACAAAGCTAATTCTATACAGTCAACACAATGCAAGTTAATCAGATTATGCAAATGACATTTGATAAATAAAATATGTATCTCAGACACAGAATTCAGTTCAGCAACAGGAGAAACTATATTTTGACACCGTTGTCCTTTCTACCTTAAGTACTTTATGATAAAACTCAAGAGTAGAGAAAAAACCTGGACCTTATAAAATATTTTAGGGAACCAGAAGAGTAATTGGGACAGGAGAAACAATATGAAATGTATTCATAATGAATATGAACAGAATTATGTTGCATGAAATAAACTTCATTCTACCCATTAGAGATTCCTAACAGATCAACTGTTTCTAACCCTGGAAATCAGTCTGTTGCATGATATGTGGACATGTTTTTAACTTTAGAAAAGTCTGATACTACAGCAATCTGTTTATCTCTGATTCTGGATATACAACATTAATGCACTAGCACTATTAAACAACAGGATTCTTATCTTCAAAGCAGAAAACACTTATTTGGTTTACATTTTTGTGCTAATATGATGGTTTATTTTCCAAAATGTACCTTGCTCAGCAACCTGAGATTCTAGCTTCTAAATAAATTTCCAGAATCACAGATGAAACTTATTTCAAAGCTCAAATATAATTGAGAATTCTTTGTTATTTATTTATACACTGCAACCACTAGATATATACTGTTTTTCTGAATCTGCTAGTGACATGTATACCTTCCCAGCCTTGGGAATTAATTAGCAGTGCTTGCCAGGGAATAGAGATGGGGGAAACCTTATACATGATTCCTGATGGTCCAAATAAATTCTTTACCCCCTTAAATAAGGAATGAATATGTACTAAAGTGCTTTATGCAAACCACATCAGTACATTACTTAAACAAAGGAGATTCTAAATGGGAAAAATCTGCATTCTAAATATGCAGAGAGATCTTAACAATTTTATATGAAAGAAAGAATCAAGAGAAATAACTTCTCCCTTGTCTTTTTTCAACTCTGTATAAAAAAAAGTGCAGTAAAAAATGCAGTAGGTGAGAGGGATTGAGGCAGGCCATCAGTGATAATGTGCAAATGTATGTCTCAGCAGTTCATCTGCAGATGGTCGCAACTTAGCCTCAATAAATATCCGCTTTAGAAAATCCCGACCGTGGTCTGAGACGTGAGGTGGCAGCTGGGGATTGGTAGGCTGTGTGGCAATTTTAAAAATGGCAGCCATTGCTTCAAATTCTGCCCAGGGTGGCTTCTCAGTGAGCATTTCAACAACTGTACAACCTACACTCCTGCAACAAGTAAGAATGAAAAGCAAATTAAAATCAAGATGACTATCTGAAAAAGATAATCAAAGCATAATATATGTAGCTACCAAAAGAAAAAGTTTTTTTACATTTCTACGTAAGTTTAATATTTCATTTGGGTGGAGACAGATTTGCTCTTTCAATGTTACCAGATTCATATATTTCTACTGGAAGAAGGGGACAGGGAAAACAAAAGTGAGGTGATTCAACCAATTTATTGTTTTCATTGCAATGCCCAGAACATTCATCATTCTCCTGTTCCTAACTTCCAGAACTGCAGGAATAAACACAACACAGAAATAAGCAGGATTTTTTAAAAAAATTCTCTCCTTCATACTGCACTAGAACATTGTTAGGAACAAAATTCCATTCACCAAACAATTAGATCCAATCTTATACTAGCACAATTGTTCTGTTTTTCATCTAGATGAATTTACTCATTTTCAATTTGTAACAATTATTCTGTTTTTTTGAAAATCAGAGAAAGCTGCACTCAGTTTAAATACTGACCACTCTACTTTGAGTTTCCTCTAAAGTTCCAATGACTGAAATATAATTTTATTACTGAACACATGCCATAAAAATAGCTTCTTCAGAATTTATAGTAGAAAAAACACTCACTGCAAGATTTACAGTGGGGCAAAAAAGTATTTAGTCAGCCACCAATTGTACAAGTTCTCCCACTTGTAATTGTCATCATAGATAGACTTCAAATATGAGAGACAAAATGAGAAAACAAATCACATTGTCTGATTTGGAAAGAATTTATTTGCAAATTATGGTGGAAAATAATTGTTTAGTCAATATCAAACGTTCATCTCAATACTTCGTTATATATCCTTTGTTGGCAATGACAGAGGTCAAACGTTTTCTGTAAGTCTTCACAAGGTTGACACACACTGGTGCTGGTATGTTGGCCCATTCTTCCATGCAGATCTTCTCTAGAGCAGTGATGTTTTGGGGCTGTTGCTGGGCAACACGGACTTTCAACTCCCTCCGAAGGTTTTCTATGGGGTTGAGATCTGGAGACTGGCTAGGCCACTCCAGGACCTTGAAATGCTTCTTACGAAGCCACTCCTTCGTTGCCCGGGCGGTGTGTTTGGGATCATTGTCATGCTGAAAGACCCAGCCACGTTTCATCTTCAATGCCCTTGCTGATGGAAGGAGGTTTGCACTCAAAATCTCACGATACATGGCCCCATTCATTCTTTCGTGTACACGGATCAGTCGTCCTGGTCCCTTTGCAGAGAAATAGCATGATGTTGCCACCCCCATGCTTCATAGTAGGTATGGTGTTCTTTGGATGCAATTCAGCATTCTCTCTCCTCCAAACACGAGTTGTGTTTCTACCAAACAGTTCTACTTTGGTTTCATCTGACCATATGACATTCTCCCAATCCTCTTCTGGATCATCCAAATGCTCTTTAGCAAACTTCAGATGGGCCCGGACATGTACTGGCTTAAGCAGGGGGACACGTCTGGCACTGCAGGATCTGAGTCTCTGGCAGCATAGTGTGTTACTGATGGTTGCCTTTGTTACGTTGGTCCCAGCTCTCTGCAGGTCATTCACTAGGTCCCCCCGTGTGGTTCTGGGATTTTTGCTCACTGTTCTTGTGATCATGTTGACCCCACGGGGTGAGATCTTGTGTGGAGCCCCAGATCGAGGGAGATTATCAGTGGTCTTGTATGTCTTCCATTTTCTAATTATTGCTCCCACAGTTGATTTCTTCACACCAAGTTGCTTGCCTATTGCAGATTCAGTCTTCCCAGCCTGGTGCAGGTCTACAATTTTGTTTCTGGTGTCCTTCGACAGGTCTTTGGTCTTACCATAGTGGAGTTTGGAGTGTGACTGTTTGAGGTTGTGGACAGGTGTCTTTTATACTGATAAAAAGTTCAAATAGGTGCCATTAATACAGGTAATGAGTGGAGGACAGAGGAGCCTCTTAAAGAAGAAGTTACAGGTCTGTGAGAGCCAGAAATCTTGCTTGTTTGTAGGTGACCAAATACTTATTTTCCACCATAATTTGCAAATCAATTCTTTCCAAATCAGACAATGTGATTGTCTGGATTTGTTTTCTCATTTTGTCTCTCATAGTTGAGGTCTACCTATGATGACAATTATAGGCCTCTCTCATCTTTTTAAGTGGGAGAACTTGCACAATTGGTGGCTGACTAAATACTTTTTTGCCCCACTGTATGTCTGGAAAAAAAATCTTAGTAACACATTATTATTTCTTTGAAAACCAGATCATCCTATTTTCTTTAAGGTGATTAACTGCATCAAAGACTATGTCACTTCTTTCTTCAAGTTACAATTCTCATAAGGCATACGGATTTTGCAACCTGAAGTTTGTTCCAGCCAGTAATGAAAAACTATAGAAGGAAGCAGATTCACCTAGGTAATGTAGTAAAATTGGGGTAACAAATGTGACTAATGGACTTTCTTATAAAATGCCATGGCCAACATTTTCTAGTCTCTAGAACCACAGGGGGAAAGTTGTTTAGAGCAGTGGTTCTCAACCTGTGGGTCGGGACCCCATTTGGGGTCAAACGACCATTTCAGGGGGTCGCCAAACAACGCAGCCATTTTTTCCCCTTTTCCTTAGCTGTGCTACTCCCTTTTCTTCTATTGGCTTTTGAAAGCCAATAGAATTAGACTCTATTCAAGAGAGTCTATTCTATTGGCTTTCAAAAGCCAATAGGAATTGTCCAGGCTGTCTCTGCCCTGCTGAGCCTGCCAAAAGTCCCATTCTGCAAACGGTGCTGCATGTTGTCTACAGCGAAGGCGAGCTGTCTGGAAGTTTCCACCCCTCCCTGCTGAGCAATTACTAAAAATGTAAGTAAAAGAGGGCCAGGGGTGGGAGGTGGAAGGCTGGCGGGAGGGTTGCTGGCACGCGTGGGGCCCGGCGGGTGCCTTACCTCCCTTGGGCTGGGCCAGCTGGTGGACCAGCTGGTGGTCGGCCTGCGCCGTCTCTGCCACTTGCCAGCTACGCCTTGGCCGGCGCAGGGGGCGGCACCACGCGTGTGCGGTGCTCCCGGGCAGGGAAAGTCCTCGACTTACGACCGGTTGGGTAGTTCTCGACTTATGACCGGTTGGGTAGTCCTCGACTTACAACCGGTTGGGGGTCGCGGCATTAAAAAGGTTGAGAACCACTGGTTTAGAGAAAGGAATGTCCGCATCATGACCCCATAAAACTGCTGTGGACATCACATAAAATTATCTAGTGTAAATGCCTTCCTCAGTTTGGCTTAGATAAACCTGCAGAGATTGTCAATTTATGGAGACTTTCTAGATTACCAATGATTAAAGACCTTTCTCTAACTTCTCCTATCACTTTGGATGACAATGTCCTAGAGGTATTGTTTAACATTTTTCTTTGCCTTAGAAAGTTCAATGGTAGTTAGGGATTTAGACCTATATTAGACATTTGCTGCTCTACTTTATGTATAAAATTTGAGTGTTATGCACAAATCAGGGATGAAACCAGATTGTTGATATTTCAACCTGAAGTAGTATATAATTTTCATAAACCAAATTCTGATCTCTGTTATCAGTCCCAGACCTAATCTTAATGCAGTATTGTGGGTACATCTAGGTACTCCCAAAATAGTGTGCAAGAAATTATTTCCAATTTGTTCCTGGTGCAAAATAATATAAGACTTACCAAATATCTGCTTTTCTTCCATATCCTTCCCCACTAATCACTTCTGGACTCATCCAGTATGGAGTCCCTGTAGCAGACTTCATTCCTGTACCAGAAAGGCAAATTGTTTGAAGCCGTTTGCTGGCACCAAAATCACCCAACTTAACATTGCCTGCAGAGTCACGAAGAATATTTGCTCCTGAAAGAAATATAAACAAATGATGTAATGACAAAAAATTGACCCTGCTTTGGATTAATAACAGCTATTGCTGTGTAATCATATAAGGCCAGTAGAATCATACACTAAATAAGTACATGTAATCCTCGAGTTTATGGCAGTTCAGTTAGCGACCACTTGAAGTTGCAATATAATCCCCCCAGTACTTACAACACAGTCCTGAGTTACAAACATTGCAGCACCACCGCAGTCGTTCACTCTTATGAATGACCACAGAGGCACTGCAACATTTGCCCTGCCTATTCCCCCCCCCCCGACCGTCCAGTGCCTATGGAGACTCACTTATCTTGTGAAGATCTAGCAAGCTGTCTCCTCTCCAGCCTCTCTGCCACCGTTTCTTTGCCTGTTCCCTGCACTCCAAAAGCAGAGCTATAATAGCAGAGGGAGGGACAGGTTGAGCGCGCCCTACTCGGCTTCTCTGAGGCTGCCCGCCGCTTCTGAAGCAGTGGGGAGCTTCGGTTAGCCTCCCCCAAAGGCTTCCAGTCTTGGCGTAAAAAGTGTTTGCACACCAAAGGGAGACTTTGGGGCAGTGAAATTGCGTTGCTTCGAGCCTCCTGTCAGCTTGCAAGCACTTTTCGAGCTGAGACTGGAAGCGTCTGGTGGCCGTGATCTCGCAGGACTTCAGCCCCCCATCTGCTCTTGCAGAGATTAAGTGCCGGTGGAGACCCAGTGCAGCAGGATGGGGGGGGGAAGCAATTGTGGGAAGCATGAGGTATTTCAGGGGGTAGAGGGAGGCCTTGGTGGTCTTAAGAAGGTGGTCTGTTCCCTCACTAGGCCCCCCATGGCCTTCCCCACCCTGAGATACCTCATTTGCACTTAACGACCTGTGCATTCGTTTAGCGAATGCGTGGGTGAAAGGAGGGAGTTTTCATGTTCATTTTACGTGATTCACTCCAACAAATCCTCGGGTTACGAATGTAATTGGCAGACACCATTATAACTCAAGGACCACCTGTACATTTTTAATGGAGACTGTAATTTAGTGAGTGTACAAAAATATTATAGGCAAACTAAGTAATTCAGTTAGAATCTGAAATAAATATGAACATATCTAAAATTGTATGTATACACTTTTAATTACAACTCAAATATTAAACAAGAAATTAAACCCTGACCTCAAGGAATCATAGTGGACAACCTTTCCTCTGAAGGTGTCTTCAATCTAAACTTTGACACCACAAATACTAGTCTAAACAGTGACTCATACCCACATTATCATTTATCTGGAACATTGCAATGTGATCTACATGGGGCTCCCTTTAAGATCATCCAGAAGCTTCTATTAATCCAGAATGTACCAGCTGTTGGCAGGTAATCATCAACATGAGCATTAGATCTCTTGCATTTGACTCCCAGTTATTTATTTAACTTTAGCTCAGGCCATCAATTGGCTCTCAGTGAATAATAAGTAATTTGCTATAAAGCATCCAAGACAATTGATCAAAATTAAAATCACAATATAAAAATATGTTTCAACAAACATCAGCAAACAAATAAAAATATGGTCTTTTCTAATTTCAAATACCATCTTAAATAGATTAAAATGTACTAAAACTAATAAAATGGGCTGACTTGAATTTCTTAGGGTAAGGCTTCCAAAGTACCAACATGTGAAAAAACATTTTTGTGCCTCATCTCCAATTGGTACTTAGTACTTCAGCAACAGGCTATGTAGATCTTTAGGATCAAAATTTGTATCGTGAATTGCACAAAGAAGCTAGTATCAGCCCTACAAGGTGGGCAAGACCAAACAACAGACATTGATAGACCGAAAGCTACTTTTTTAAGAACAGCTACCACAATATAATCTTGCAAGTCTAATGTGTTTCCTTTCCTCCCTTATTTATCTTCATGAAAAGTGTGTGTTGGGGGGGGGGGAATCTGAAAGGTTTTCTTAAAATATTTTATTGATCCCATTTCATGTACAGTTGCAACTTATACTGCAGCCAAAACTGGACAAAGCTTCCCAGCCCCCCCCCCCCCAAGCTGTCATCTCTGCCATCTTTGCTATGCTCTGCTAAGCTGCTGGCATCCTGCCATCAATGGGGGAATGGGGCAAAGCCATTTAGGGAAGAAGTGCAGAAGGAAGTAAAAGGAGACAAAGTGGGGAGGGAATAGCACTGATAGAAACCAGATATGTGAAAACCAGACTAATCCAAATGCTCAAGGATGCCTGGCCTGGGAAAGAATGTGCAGTTATTTCAAGACGCACCTAATATCAAATTGATTCCCCAAACATCGCACCAGGATGCTACTGGACACTGACCATCTGGACAATGGGAGGGAGGAACATGAAGGGGAAAAATTTGTAACTTTGCAAGGGAAGCTTTAGTTCCAGCCCGACTTCACTGCAACCAGTAATCCTTAGTAAAAGTACTTATCACTTCAACCAAGTGGAGTCGACGGTCTTTCTTACCTAGGAACCTGACTGGGGCAGGTCTACAACAGCCCTGTGTTTATCCAAGAAATAAAAATGAAAGGAAACCCATGTTTTCTCACGGTTAACTAACAAAAGCTAATTTGTACCACATCAGAAGATTTTTCAGCAACTAATAAAACATTTATTACTACTTATGGTGGGTGTTTTAATTAAGGTTATGTATGTTTATTATTTTGTTGCTATTTATGACTAGGAGTTCTTGGAGATTATTTATTAGATTTGTTTAGCACTACCAATATTACCATTTCAATTTTCTCAGATTGAACAACTAGAATATCCAGTGATGATCTAATATCTAATATGATTAATTTGAAAGGATTAGCTGGTGACATCATTATTGCCTGGAAAACACCCAGTTGGAGACTCCTTTCATGTCCCCAGCAAGAGCTGAAGCAAAGGACGTGATATTATATTGTATTGTATTATATATATCATACATTAACATTTTTTTTCTATCACACTCACTTAAAACATCTACAATTAAGAGTTTTGGAAAAGTGCAGGAAAGGATTTCAAAAAAATGCTATTTTCAGTAGTATACCAGGGGAAAAAAAGAAACCAACCCTTCACAGACTTAGGAAGAAATATTTACAATTTATAAATTGTATAGCAAATTTATAACAATGCCCTCATCAGTACCTTTAATATCTCTATGTACAATCATGTTACTGTGCAAATAGTGAACTCCTTCCAGGATCTGGCGGGTATACTTCCGAGTCACATTCTCTGTGAGAGCACCATATGCCTTCAGCTGATCTTTAATTGAGCCCTACAGTGGAAGAAACTTGCTATAGTAAAAGATCTTAACAGAAGTTTTCTACAAGTCCACCATATAAAAAATACAGCACTTAAAACACTGTTTGAATCTGCAAATGCAGTTATTTTTATTTATGTGTATCCTATTTTTTTTACAAGTAACTCAGGGCAGCAAACATATCCAACACACCTTCTTCTTCCTATTTTCCCCCCAACAACAACCCTTTGAGATGAGTTGGGCTAAAAGAAAATGATTGGCCCAAAGTCACTCAGCTGGCTCTCATGGCTAAGGTGAGACTTGAACTCACAGTCTCCTACTTACTAGCCTGGGCCCTTAACCACTAGAACAGGGGTTCTCAACCTTGGCAACTTTAAGACTTGTGGACTTCAACTCCCAGAATTCCTCAGCCAGCTTTGAAGTTGAAGTCCACAAGTCTTAAATTTGACAAGGTTGAGAACCCCTGCACTAGAACAAACTGGTCTTGGAAATCTCTCTCCATCTCACCTTCACTTACATAGCTCTCTTCCAGCACACCAACTTAGGGGAAATAGGATTTAAAGTTTAAATCCGGATTCTTACTGGAATGTATATCTGTGATTCATACTAGAAAGATAACAGAATGCTACAAGTACCAAACTTTTTTATAATATTTAAAAGAATAGTTAATAACTTAAAATTATTTGTTTTGTTTGATCATGCTAATTTCTTTTAAGCTTCAGATATGCTAACAATCTACTATCAGCCATGCTTATTTTCACTATGATAGAAATATTTAATATGATGCTTCCCACATGTGGGAAAAAAATCAATAATTAAATATGCATCTTGTTAGACAATAGATATGTCAAGAACAGAATGCAGATAGCAAGGAGATGTTGACCTGTAGATGCTAGTGAAAAACTGGAGAAAATATTTATAGAAACTTAGTACAAAAGCACTTTTCAGTATTTTTTACACAGTATCTTATACATCACTCTATTTGCAGACTTGATTTCTACATTTGGGCATGCACACACTACAAAAATTTACTGTGTCCCTGTGGGTCAGCGGCTTACCCCTGGCATATATTCCATGAATATAGAAAGTGTTCCTTCCGGATGGTCCCTTAAGCAGCCATAATACTGAACAATTCTTTCATGTAGCAGATTTTTCAGAAGCTGAATCTCACATTCAAGGGCATTTACTTCCTAAAAGTAACATATCAGAATAAGAGCAAATTTCTAGCACTAAATCATACCAAAAATACTTGATTCAAGTATTTTTTAAATTTAATTTAAACTGAATAATTTAAAAATCATTATTGCTAGCTCATTATTATCAATCACTACAAACCATTTTAGCCGCTTTACTATTTTCATAATTAAATGAACACTTCAGTTTTATATATTTATATAAATATTTATATTTATATTTGAAATTCTTAAAGAAACCTAATTGATATACATTTTACAGCTTAATATTTAAACCTTTCATTAACTCCATTTCTTCATTTTTTTAAGAAGAGAATCTTATGATTATTTCCATATGAAAGTAGTTTCGACTTCTAGAATGGGAAGGACAATTCCCCTCCCTTCCATAGACTCTTAAAGGTTTGCTCCGAAAGGACTCATAACATTTGGGGGGAAAATGGAGGATAAATTAGAAAAAAAAACCCACTAAACAGGAAGATACCAACTCATTTCAAAAGAGTATTTCACCCATGGAAAAAAGCCAAACGATGTCAGAATCCATATATGAATAACATCAATCTTTTAGTGACATTTGTGTAATATTCAGGTTCCATAACACTTTCCTCAACTTCTTTTGATTTTACTAATATTTTTTTTAAAAGCATGATTCTAAAAAATAAGTTCAATTTATTTTAACCATTATATGTGTACATATCAGAAAGGTAAAGAAAGAGGATACTTCCTTTTCGAAATCTTACCTTACTCGTCTCTGGACTGTCAGAATCAAACTCAACTTGTTTAACAGCTAGTTCTCGTCCTGTGTCTGCATCATAGCATAGATAAACTCTACCAAATGCACCTTGGCCAAGTGGTTTACCAAGTACCCAATTAGTTGGAGCACGTGGGGCTGCAACAAAATGTGAGAAATCTGATATATTCAACTATACAAGGGAAAAGCAGACTGACACCTTTCTGACACTTCAAAAAAGTTTCCAAATCAGCATATTTTATTTTATTTTAAAATATAAATATTTACCCTTTGAATAGACTTCCTGGTTTTGATAAATTTGCAGTGTTATTAGTAAGTATGTAATGCGAGAGCTTTCTCCAAATGTATATGTTTGTATGTGTGTGTGTGTGTGTGTGTGTGTGTGTATATATATATATATACATACATATATGTACATATACATACACACACACACACACACACTCCCACACTTAATAAATGTAAGCACACATTAACAATGAATAGATTTTAGGTTATTTTCTATCTTCCTACTATTACTATCTTTAACAAATAATTATTGTCTTAGTAAAAGAAACATGTACAGTAGGAATTTCCTGATAAAGCTTACTGTGGGCTAGACACTTCAAGGGCCCTTTCTATATGTCAGATTTTCTGATTTTAGTCTACTCTTCTGATACGCTCCCATTCCTCTGATGATTTATTTTCTTCGCAATTGTGTATAAAACCTAGTTATTTCAACAACTGAACTATAGTTCAGATGAGGGATTACAAGGAAATAGATAGAATTTTTCTCCTTACAGCGGCTGGGAGGGCTGATGTCCATTACTGTCAAGGTAGGATTTTCTATGTCACTTCCTCTTCTCCGCATTCGTCCATCTTCATATTCTGGAGTGAAAATGCTGCTCCCACTGCTTGTGCTCAATGAATAATCAGTTGGGCTGAAACTTACTGGAGTGCGTAAGCAGTTTCCTTGGGTCCTTCTAACTCTTGGAAAAGTTTTACGACCTGCAGAAATTATAAGTGATTCCAACACCATAGTATTATGAAGTACACTGTTTATCAGCACATTGGTCTGGATCAGTGTTTCTCAACCTTGACAATTTTAAGGCATGTGGACTTCAACTCCCATTGCTGGCTGTGGAATTCTGGGAGTTGAAGTCCACATGCCTTAAAATTGTCAAGGTTGAGAAACACTGGTCTGGATGAAGTTGACAGTAAAGATTACTAGACAGAATTGGAAATATGTTATAGACCTGAGAGGCAATCATAAATAAACATTTATCACAGCTTCCTTGATAATAAGGAATATATATGATAACCAAAGTAGATACTTTTGTAAAGAACCAGAGCAAGCACATTTTCTTGGAAAATAGATTTCAATTTTCTAAATATGGAAATTTTAAAATATAATACTATAATATTTTTATTGGTGGTAAGAAATAATAGCTTCAGCTCTATGAAAAGTAATAGACTTGCTGATCTTTTAAATAACATACTTGATGAAACTCTAGGTATTTATTTTAAATAGTGGATTTAACAAAAGGCAGCATTCGCAAGGAACTAAAATTAGCTGCCATGAACCGAACTCAACTTATGAAATGCTCCAGAAGGAAGGAAAGAAGGTTATCTAGTGCATCGTTCCTTCTCACTATCATCTACTGAAAAGCTTCTCTAACAAGCTGGAAAACTTTCCAGAACAACATAGGCCTTGCCACTAGAGGTTGCAAAGAAAAGCATTGAAAATATTTTGACATTCTTTTATTGTGAATCCAATTAGATTTTTATCTTCTCCATTCTCTTCCATGAATGGAAGGGCACATCTGGGTAAAATAAGAAATATTTTGGGGGTGTTATTTAGGAAGGAGAACCTTTTTCCAACTTCTCTGCAACTCTTTGCACTGTCTCCCATACTATTTCAAAAACTACCCCAACAGTGTGAAACAGATCCTGGAGCTGGTAAACACACTTCCCCTCCTCCTTATTTTGAGTATTGTTGGGTGATAAAACATAGAGATGGCCCAAGAGAAAAAGAGACCGGGGGCGGGGGGGGGGATGTTGATAGCTTCTGGAGTAGTTTTGCTAAGAATAGGTTCCTTAAGCCTCCTAAAAGCTTAAGAACCACTGTAAATTTTATCTTGTGTCTCTAAATGAAAATTTATGTTGCTCCACAAACTGGTATTTTACTGGCAATGCAATCAAGGGTAGGCAGATATGCTCTGGAACTGTAAAAAAAACTTAGCAGCAGGCTGTATGTGGTCACAAGTAGAAGGTTTCATTGTGCTATTCTAAGACAACCCTTAAAAGATCCTGCTGACAAAACAAAGATTTATAAATTCAAAATTAATGCACAAAAATGATGCTCTCTTAATTTACAGTAAAACAAACCAAAACTTTGAAGAAAAATATAAACCAGATGGCCCAAAACTCACCATCATTGTATTCTTGATGTTGATATGAAATATGATACCGAGGATAAGTTCCACCTTTGACAAACTTTTCAAATATTGGGAGGTCATAATCTGAAAAAAATATTTTTGCTTTATTCCATTAAATGGCATTAACTAGCCAAAACTGAATAAAAAGGTTTATTTATCATCCCCAATTTCTAATCAGGAAAAGCGTATGTAAAGGACTATGTTTTTTTCATAATATATGCTGTATCTACCGTATATGCCGGCGTATTAGGCGACCCGGCGTATAAGACGACCCCCGTCTTTATAGCCGGGCCGCATTCCTAGAACGTCGTCTTATACGCCGGAAACTACCAGTATTTCTGGCGTATAAGATGACTCGGCGTATAAGACGACCCCTGTCTTTGGCGCCGATTTCAGCACTCGCGGAAGTCGTCTTATACGCCGGCATTTACGGTATGTCATCCCTAAATTAGGGGCAGAATACAAAGAAGATATCCATATTGATTTTTAAAAACAACATACTTATTTTAATACATATTTTATGTCCCAGAAATATTTTTTTTCTTTATATTCGTATCCCTTTACTATTTGCAGGGTGACTCTTCATTTATGAATATTATAGACTTTACACTATTATACTATATGTTTATGAAGATTCTCAGTCATCCAGGTCATGGTTATCCCAAAGGTGCTTTTTTAAAAAGGCAATTGAACTTTCTTTCCAGTTGCCTTTTGAAAAAGCACCTTTGCGACCCCTGTACTATATCTATACCTACAATATAAAATCTAATCTCTCCCTCTTTCTTTATCCTAGAACACAAAAATAAACATATAAACCTTCATTATACCATTAAAACTAAATACTCTTTGAATACTTAAACTAAATACTTAAACTTAAACTTCTTATCTAAGATTTTCATTCAATCTCCATAATCTTCTCTCCTATCAAAAAAAACTTAAAAGACATATAAATCCTAAACAAATCTAGGTACATTTAATTAAACAAGTTATCTTCTCTTAAAAATAATAATAATAATAAAAAACCCAATCATTAAACACATTATAATATACTCTGAACCTTTTCATATCATACTTATGTTATTATCCATCATTCTTTATAAACTCCCTCCAAAACACAAATTTGAACATTACTTAAAACATTAGAATTCCCTTATACACATTTAAATCTTTACCAATAACAAATTCCATCCACAATAAACACATTCCTTATCAGTCTCTCTTGTCCATAAACCATTAAAATTCCCTTATACACATTTAAATCTTTACCAATAACAAATTCCATCCACAATAAACACATTCCTTATCAGTCTCTCTTGTCCATAAACCTCAAAAAAGTGCTTTGAAAACTGCCCTTAAAGCTAACTCCAAAAAGTTTGTAAATCTTGCTTCTCCCACAGACTCAGTACTCTTTTGAATACTTAAACTAAGTACTTAAACTTAAACTTCTTATCTAGAATTTTCATTCGATCTCCATCCTTGTCAGTCTCTCTTATCCATAAATCTCGAAAGAAGTGCTTTGAAATCTGCCCTTAAAGGTAGCTCCAAAAAGTTTATAAATCCTGCTTCTCCCACAGACTCAGGAGCCAATACTTGTGAGGCTTCCTTAAACTCCTTCTTCTGTTGCTCTTTTTCTTTACGATTATATGTTGCACGAGTTGTCCTCTGCTCCTTCATCTCGACTTGTTGAGGCCCCTCAAACTGAGATTTCCCATTTTTCATTAATATAGGCTCTTCAGACTGCAATTCTACCCTTAAAGGTTGCTCCAAAAAATTTATAAATCCTACTTCTCCCGCAGATTCAGAAACCAATAGTTGTGAGGCTTCCTTAACCTTCTTCTGTTGCTCCTTTTCTTTACAGTTATATGTTGCACAGGTTATCCTTTGCTCCTCCATCTCAACTTGTTGAGGCCCCTCAAACTGAGGTTTCCCAATTTTCATAAGTATAGGCTCTTCAGACTGCAATTCTACCTTCTTTTCTTCCAAAACTTTAAACTTAATAGATGGCGATGAACATACCCCCAGGACCGAAGTATAAAAGTCTTTTGCTTGAGAAACAGTATTAAGTCTATAACATATCCCCAGGTAACTCACCACCATTCCCATCGGAACATCCCATCTGAACAAGATTCGTCTCTTTTTAAGTTCATCTGCTAAAAAAGCAAACTCCTTTCTTCTTCTTAAAATTTTAGATGGGATCTCCTTTAAAATTATAACATCTTGTAAAGCAATTTGAAACCTCTTCTTATAAAAAGCTTGTATAATTTCGTTGCGCAGGGATCTTTTCCCAAAGTAAATTACCACATCTCTTGGCAAATTCTTTTGCACTCCACCACAGAGTTAACTCTAAATAATTTTTCAATTTCACTAAGTATTTCCTCTTTTTCTTTATTCAAAATCACAGCAAAGTCCTTTGCAACCATCTCTCTCGATCTCCTTGCACAGACTCTCCCAAACCTCTGATTCTTAAGGCATATTCCATTTGTCTATATTGAAGCATAAGAATCTCATTTTCCATTTCTTTTTCCATGCTTTCAAATTTTCCCTCCATCAATTCCACTTTTTCTGCTACCTCTTCTACACGAGAGTTCAGCTTTTCAAGAACAGAGGCAACTCCTTTTAGAGCCAAAACTCTCTTGCCTCAAAATCTTATTATTTTCCTCTAAAATCTCTTTCATTTCTGCCCTAATTTGAGATATAACATTTCCCATCATATCTTGCAAATCCTTCACAATTATTGGCTGTACCAAGGAAGAGGGTGAAGCTATTGATTTAGGTTGTTGCACTGATGATAACACCGAAGAAGAAACCACCTTAGGAGCTGTAGGAATTACTGGACGCTTTGGAGCCATCTTAAAAAAAATCTTTACTCCTTCTTAAAAATTACAAAAATTAAGCAAAAGAAAAAGAGAGATTAAGTCCAAAAAAATTCAAAAAATCCTTCAAAAGGAGATCATTATAACAAAAAAATACTGAACGCTTTGGAGCCATCTTAGAAAAATCTTTACTCCTTCTTAAAAGTTACAAAAATTAAACAAAAGAAAAAGAGAGATTAACTCCAAAAAATCAAAAAATCCTTCAAAAGGAGATCATTATAATAAAAAGAAAGGAGTTAAAAAAAGAAAAGGGAAGAAGAAAAAAATAATTAAATAGAAAAAATCCATTCCATTTTTTTAAAAGTACAAAAAGCAAAACAAAGAAGTTAAACAAAAATAATAATGCTTCTAAAATCCAAACCCAACATCAAAATCAAATCCACATTCCATTCCAATCATTAAAAAAAAAAGGAAAAGGATAAAAAAAAACACCAAAAAGCCTGCCGATCACCATTCTACCTTCCAAAAAAAAAAAAAAAACCCGAAAGGCTTGCCGATCGCCATTTTACTTCCCCTTTCAACAAAAGAAAAAAAATAAAAAGAGGGAATATAAAAGTAAAAGTAAATCTTTAAACTTAAAATCCAAATAAAATCAAAGAAAGCAAAAGCTAAATCCTCTACTCAGCTCTGTCCGCCTCTAAAAAAACCTCACCAGATCACTTTAATCGCGGAGGTGGTTGCAGCGGCTTGTTTTGTCCCTAGGGACAAAAGCAGCTGGGAAGCGGAGACAGTCTGAACTCCGTGGGAGCACTCCTCTCACCCCCCAAAAAAAGCCTTGGGGATGCATGAGAGTGGCTCTAGCACTATTCAGACAACCCTATTCCCCCCCCCTTTGCCCGGGAGGGGGATTTTGAACCGCTGAACATCTGATGGCCGCTGTTCATAGCGATTCAAACACTTACCCAGGAGGACGGCTACAAAGTAGCCGCCATCGCGCACGCAGATCCACCGGAAGCCCAAGGAATATTATTTTATTATCTTCTTGGTAAGCATGATGGGTTCTGCTCGTTCTCTTTCATTGTGGAAACATACATTTATTCCATCTGAAGCCCACTTTGTGATTTTTTAAAGTTTTTAGAGCAAGATTACAATATTAAAATATCAATTTTAAAAAATTCTCTCATATCTTTTAGAGTTTATTATAATCTTTTGAGGGTTTTAAGATGCTTTGCTCCACTAGATTAAACTTCCAGTTCAAATGGAAGTGCAGTACAACTTCAGAGTATATTAAAATTAAATTCTATCTTGATTTGAATAGAACTTTCCAGTAGCTGAAAGCTTTAAAATTCTTACTGTAGTTCCAATTGTGAAGGCTGCAATGACTTATTTTATATGTGTAAACATCATATGTTTACAGAGCTAGATAAATAGTTGCATAAATCCAAACGACCTTGAAAAAATTATAAATTGTAAATATTTCCACTAAAAATGAAAAAAAACAGATCAAGATCCTTTTTATCATCTCAGCAATGATTGCTATTTTCTGATTTTAACTGTTAGATATTTTTTTGATTATAAGAAATAGCTGTATTAGTTACAGTTCTGCATTTGCTACCATAGTCTTTGACCTACTCAAACACTATATTGTGAAGCTATAGATACTTAACATTGTAATATAAAACTTTATAACAATAACATTGGAAACATTGTCCATTTGTTTTTATCTACCAGAGAATTCTTGATGGTTATCAGGATAGCTCTGAGCTCTTGGCATCCGGGACTTAGGGTAGTTATCCCTAGAAACACAAAACATTGCAATATTAAATTCGTAATAATTAAGAGCCTCCTGAATATAACTATGACTTGCAGAGCACAGCAGAAAAACAGATTATATGGTTCTCACCCATCTAAAGGGCTATCAAGTGACGGACAACTTCCTGAGCCAGAATTTTCAGGGCTACTCAGTGATAATGGATCCAACATCTGAAAGAAAAGCACAAAAATGTACGGCAAAGTTTCAGTTAGTTCAAGCCACATCAATAGATGGAATGGGGGAATCCAATGTTAATCCAAAATTTAAGGAGAAAAGGGGGGATCCCAAGAAAACCCTTCAAGCTACCAGATATGTAGGAGATCCTTTAATGAGAATGCTTACTAAGTCTCTTTCTGGAATGAATTCGCCCTCACTATTGATACTAGTGAATGATCCATTCCGTGCCACATGATCATCTGGAATGTATCCTGGAGGAGGAGAGCTGCTGTCACGAGTATAGCCTGTTGAATTTTAAAAGAAGTGGAAAAAGATCATAAACAAACTTACCATCAAGAGTCAATTATTAGTTTAATTTTTAAATCAAACAATATTCCTTTCTTCTGATCTTTCAGTTATTTTCTATTATTTTAAATTACGTATGTTCTATATTGAACAACTTTAGTTCAATATAGAACAATTTCAAATATAAAATGCATTATGCATTTCAGTAATTTTCTATGTGGTATATAAACTGTCAGGGGGAGATATATTTTATACACTGATACAAACAGGGAGGAATGTACACTTTAAAAAATGCTTCAGAACATCATCCTTTTTCATTCACACAGTATTTCAGAATGATATTCCTTACTTCTGCTTAATATTGATATTTTCCAACAGAATGGTTTTTGATGTCCTGCTGTTTTTCCTGATAAAACTACAGCTATAGAAAAATACATTTTCCCTTAATTCATGCAGAATATACATAATTCTGATACTGAATATATGTAATTCCCTCACAGAATACAAAATTGTAGAATACTGGTCTACAAAGTGACATAAATTGCACAGTAAATATAAAATATTAGTCACTATTTCCACATTTTTTTCATCCTGATCCTATTTGGGATTTTTTTTTAATTGATATGGAATGTTCACACCAGTTGAAACATTAAAATACTCAACTTTAAAGAAAGTTAAAACAAGAGCAAGGGGAAATGGCATAATTCCTGATTAAAAAATAAACAATATCAACATATTCTAATGTAGGCAAATGCATCTTAATCGCTTTACATAAACTTAGCTCGTCTATTACACAATATATTGGCATATTTGCGTTTCTTTATATATCTAGAAAAATGAGTTTAATAATGGATCTTGGTTGTCTAATTTTCCATAATTTTCTAATTTTTCAATACACTTCCTATATTTTTCATCACACGTATTTGAATCATTCACAAACAGTGCTTAAAAGATTGTCAGATTCTTTGGAGGATACCTCAGACTAAAAGCATTTTCCCCCAAGCAACATTCTCAATCTTCTTTTGAAAACTACTAAATGAATCAGATGAGATTTCAAGATTTTCAGTAAATCAACTGTTTCTCACTTAGAACCAACTTATATTCTAATGTGCTATTACTGACTCTTTTAAAATTTCTTTCTAGCAGCCTTTCTGCAATCTGACAGCTAACAGAAAAGAATATAGCTGGCTGTCTACATACCAAGTCTTATAAATCTTTCATTTCAAAACCTACAGAAATCCATCTGCCCTTCTTAAAAGTGAAAAAAGACAAAATAATATTTTTACATGGTAGCTGTTCTTAAATCTCAGCAATTTAAAAGGATTTTCTACATCTGCCCCAGATTCTAACCAATTTCTATAAAGTTCTTTAAAATGTGTAGCTTTATCTTCAATAATTTTAGCTACCAACACAACTAATCTGCCTGCTTCAATTTTGCTGACTTTTAGATGCGTAAGTATAATAATTATAGGAAGGAATTAAAAAGTGAATGTGAAAAAGCTATAGCCATTGAGACTATATCACATCAAAGAAAAACATTTTTATATAACCTGTAGAGGGGAAAAAAGGACAATGGCTGATGTATATATTTAAACACAGAAACAACTAATGCCTTATAGCAAATCCTTAATGTTATTTAGTGAATCTAAAGCAGCATTTTCCAGTTCTGTTAAAATTCAGCTACATAATCATAACACATTTAAATATAAGAGAACACCATATTAGCAAACAAGATTGGCATATATCAAAAATGTGTACATATTAAACAGTAAAACATACAAAACCAAGAAATAGACATCATGTAAAAAGATTGTCTAACTAATATAAGTTCTTTGATAGGCTTCTTTACTAGTCCATAGTTTAAGAATCTGGGAATTACTTATCAATTTTTCTGGATAGAGAAGTACGTATATAAATTGATGTGCAATAAACTTATTTTTACTCAATTCTCTACATATAACTTTCTTCTATCTCTTTTCCCAATCATTTTATGAATTTTTTTTTAAAAAAAACAACTATCCATGTAAAAATCTGAATGTGCTTTATATTTCACCTGATACAGAATCATAACAATTCAAAACAGTGCAAATACCCATGTGTAACCAACCTATTTTGTATCTATATTCAAGAAATGTGAGTTAATGGTATTCACATAAAACATATTTGTAGAGAGAGCTAAGATTTAAAATTACAGGTAATCTCAGTTTATGACTTCAATTGAGCCCAAGACATTTGTCAAGTAAATTTTGCTCCATCTTATTACCTTTCTTGCCATGTTTGTTAAGTGAATCACTGCCGTTATTAAGTTAGTAACACAGCTGTTAAGTGAATCTGGTTTTCCCACTGACTTTGTCAGATGGTCACAAAAGGTAACCACTTGTCCCCAAGACACCGTAATCGTCAT